TACACAGATTTTAGTAGGCGATACCTATCTCAACTCTCATTATTATTTACTATTCATTGAAGAGTTGCGAATAATGTCGCTCCACCTGTATGACCATAGTTTAGTCTATGTAATATTGGTAACCTAAAAATCCTTGCACATGGCTATCATTCCGACCCAGGTGCGTAGCTAGGGCAGTATCTGCCGTATCTATTATACAGGGCCCCCAGACTACGGGAGCTCCTAACATGCGTAAGCAAAAAATAATAAAAACTTCCCAATTATTTCATTTCAGGGGTCACATTATGCCAACATAAACAATTTTTAATAAACACCTACCTACACTTCTTCATAATTGTTATATTGTATTAATCTCATTAAGGGTAATATAACTTCAATAAATAATTGAGTTCATTTAAAGTTGACAAAAACTTTAGAAAAACTTAAGTAATCATTGTCAATGATAATTTGGGCAAAAATAAATTATCTGGAAAGTTTTCCGGTTTTGACACAAATTATTAAAATTTTATGTAAAAACTCTCTTATGTGAAATCTTTACCTTTTATAAGGGCCCCAAACAAATTTTTACACGGAGCCCCGCAAAGGCACGCTACGCTACTGTTCCGACCTTGCTTCTTATAGCACGATAGGCTAAACAACTACGTTGACCTTTGCACCTGAACTTCAATGTGAAGCATCCGTTCTGGATACTTGTGATTTACGACCATCATGAACCCTATCAGCTATGATACATCATAATTTATGTCTTACTTGTGTACTTTCTGGGGCTTTCTGTGCCACAGCTTTCAAACTATGAAAATTATTTCTTTGCTGGGTTTGACCATAATTATAATTATGTACTTTAGGAACTAAATGTATAACATCATTGAAACTTGTATAAATTAGATTATTGTTATCAAAGTGTTAATTACATAAAAATAATTTTAAATTAATAGATAGGTAGGTTGATAACTACAGTGATTCTAGTGATTTTTCTTTGTTGAAAGTTACATGTAATCTAACACAGCACCTACCCAATGGCCAAACTACCTAACTCAAGACTTATGGACCAATGAATGATACGCACTTATCCACCAACAAAGGATTGTAAATAACAAAACAATTTTGATATAAATAATAATTTAATTCAATAAATATAATGCACAATAGTAGGTATATTATACGATAATATCACAATTGAAGTACCTACCAGTGGCTTACAGTGCCACTGGATAGTCAGCCGTCTGGCTCCGGTATCGTCCACCGGCATTTTAGAGGATTTGTACCCCTAGATGAAAACTCAAGCGGTGTGTTCAACACGTTCTCACTTTCTTATCTCTTGCGGCGACGCGTGCGGGACCGCTGCGACGACCGTGAGCTCCACTCGAGGCTCAGATCACTCGACGAGGGCGGCGTCTCCGGAAACTGAGCATGGGACGTCCAGCGACACGAGGCACAAGCTGATTTTGGCGTTTCCGGCACCTTGCCCGGCTTTGCGCTTGGACTGTATGACTCCAAGATATGTTTGTAAGCGCACTCTGAAGGCTCAGGACTACGGCCCCGAGCAGTATTCAAACGGGCACGTACACAAGCGGTGCAGTAACCACAACTATCTTCGCTAAGAGCACTGCGAACCATTTTGAATAATGTGTGATTTACGTGACGCACTGAGAGGACTGAAGCCGGTTGTCAGTGAGCGATGATATTTATGCGCACGCCGGGCGTCGCGCACGCGCCTCGCCGATAACCCCGGCTCCGGCGCCAGCGTTGCCGGCCGCGCTAACTACTGACTGCGGCTGTAGCAAAAAATCTTTTATTTATCATCTTTTTTGTTATTAGTTTGATCCTAATCAGAAGTCTTACAATGGTCAGAGGTTACGTGTGTCTCCACTATTGCTATGTGAAGAATTTTAAACATAAACTAATTACTGACTCTGTAAACTTTGTACTTTACAAAAATAGTTAAGGTTTATTACTTGAACTGTTTAGACTTAAAAAGTTATTAACTGATACGACCAATAGAATGTGAAAAATGGACATTCCTCACACAGCTCGTCAATTATAATAGAGGTAAATTTAGGCCTAGGAACCAACTACCGACCTAAAACTCACGAAAATTATTTCAGCTTATAGATACATTTCGATATGAGTGAACCTAGTTGTAATCACTAACGGTGCTGATGACATTTTGTAACATAGTTATATTGTAATTTTAGTTTCAACAACTCAACAATTAACAAGTATTAAATAGCAAGTAATTTCTTGGTAGGTACCTAGTTCCCCACTGCACTGTACCTACATCACCTACAATTACACTATCATATTATGTAGATGCGCATGTGTCTTCTGATGAAAGTGGCGTGTGTAGTAAATTATCTTATAGTAATAAGTAAACAGTAGTAGGTACATTGTAATCAGGAGATGTAATATTTTACGAGTTTAATGTTGCACATGGCTACAAACGAGTAGATAGGTAGCTACGTAGTAACGTAGTGCGGACGGCTATTCAAAGATATGACGCTCCTGTAGATAGTAGTCACTGTTCTCATTTGAAAAACGTCCTATGTACCACCTCTAATGTGATGATGACCACGATCACTCTGCAAAGTGGTACCGACGACCATATTGCCATATTGCCATGAACGTGTAATGTTGCTATGTGCCCAACGAAATGTACCTAAAACCCCTGAATATTAATTATCTATTTGAACAACTGCCAATTAAATAAACGTATTTTTTCATAAAATTATTAACGTTGGTTAAAATTAACATCTATATTACTATAGATACCTAGTACTATAGATATTGAAATATCTTCTATATCTATAGACTTATAATAAATCTGTAGAGGTCAATTCTGTACATGAAATATATTTCCAAAATAACTATCAGGGGGCTGGGATCGATACTGATGCCAAAAATCTAATCAGAAAATTTTTTGTCTGTCTGTATGTTCACGCATCACGCTTAAACTATCGGTCCAATTGCGATGAAACTTTGTATAATTGTACTTTAATATCCTGGACAATACACTGGGTAGGTACGTTTTACCCCGAAAAAGTATATACACTAAAAGCAAATGGAATTATGTGGCTCGATCCCTAGACACGATTACTACACCAAACGCAAATATAAGTTTGTCACCTTTTAGGTTACCCGCAATGGACATTAGGTACCTACGCTGTAGTGGTAGGGCCGATAGTCGAAATTACCTTGAATCGCTATTATAAATGTGAAAATTTATTAGTTTGTGTGTTTGTTTGTTACTCAATCACGTTACAACGGCTGAAGGGATCGGTATGAAATTCAAAACTGAGGTTGATTATGGTCTGAGGAAGTACCTAACACATAGGCTACTTTTCATCCCTGGGAACACGAGCAAAACCGCTAGAAGAAGCTAGTATTACCTATTAATGTAAATTAAGGTACCTCGGTAAGTAGGCACGATTGTTATAGTATACCTACTGTAGATAAATGCAGCTAGTTGCTCCACATCCCTACCGGTTATTACCAGTCAATGATACTACTTAGTGATCGTAATGCATTGATGCGTTAACTATGTAAATAAGTTATCTCTAACATTATAAATAGGTAGGTACCTACTTAATTTGGACTACTATGAAGTCATAGACATAACAATAACATTGTGAATAGTTCTCTAAGTAAGTAGGTAATACGCATTTAGACTTTGGAGTACCTACATACTTGAAGCATTTAAACAATCTTTGAGTTTGCTTCAGTAATTCATCCATTCAGGCATTTTCCATTCGATCTTAGACAAATGATTAAGAATCAGGTACTAGTAAAACACTTCTGAAAAAGACGTTCTATTGACCTGTTTTTGCAAAAAAAGAACAGAAGAGAAATCGTAAATGAAATTAAAGATATTTAATCCACTATTTTTTTTTGTACCGGTTTTGTAGACACAATTATAGAACAATAGGTTGCGGTCACCGGTGACCGCTTGGTGTTTGACAGTTTAATCCACTATAGGTATAAACCATTATAAATAAATAAACTAGTAAATCGTAAGTAAGCTCAATGGCAACAAGATACGTTGACAAAGTCACACATGCTCCGGGTCGTCTGTGAACAATCGAGAAAATGCATTCTGGAATCATCAGGACGTGGCTCTGGCTCTTATCGCGGCGACATGGTGTAAACAACTCGACTATTTATAAAGTCCTGCAAATAACTTGACCACTTTGTGACCCACCGCGCCTATCGGGACTTTTGAAAGCCTAACTCTAGGTCGTAGTTACCACCCACAATGCTAGTCCATTGTAATGTTGATTTATTATTATTAATAGATTTATTACATGTTCCTTGGGGAGTGTAGAGAAGCACTAAGAGAGAAGGAAAGAAACAAAATCTTTATTTCACACGCTAAAAACAACAAGTGACCTTATTACAGATGTGAAATTCTATTGGTAGGTAGGTACTGATGGATACATGTTCATGTCCCAAGTCAGGAGCGAAATGGGGCCAGTTCAGCATTTGCAAGACTGGGCCTTGCGCTGGTATTCTACTGACCCCTTAAGTGACTTGCGGTCGTACAAGCCACCGATTAGACATCAGCAATTTAGATTTAAATTTATAGAGAAGATTTCCCTAAGTTCCCTAAGTCCTGCATAAAAAGTATAACAAGTAGGTAAGACAAACAGACTTATTTCTTAAGTTAGGCCCTGTAGTAATAAAGCGACTGCAGAGCTATATAAACAGCTTTTAGTACATAAATCATTTAAAATACAAAGTTAAAATGCTATCTTATCGTAAATATGGCTAAATAAATAAATTATTACATGCTGCTATAGACAGAGGGCACGCCGCAAAGCAAATTATTTTAATTATAGTCACTAATTGATTGAACTTGGTCCGAGTAGGTGATGAAACTCCATTCTGTTGTTACAAGTCTTACAAGTGGGCAATGCTTCCGATGAATGAGTTATAACACGGTGATTTTGCATCGCTTGGATGACGAAATAAATATTCCAAGTGATATATAAAAAACAAAACAAAAATCGTCACACACATATTTAATGATCTTCAAAATCAGGGTAACTTTAATACAGTTTTAATGATTTGAAATCACCTAACTTATATCTTACATAGGTAGGTACATAGAAACATGCCAGTTATTCCCTGAAGGTGTATCTTCTTCTACTACTATTACTAATGCTGAAGTAAGATACTCTCTGTATATCTACGTACTAGGTATACCTATACACTTTTCTCTGTTGTGCCACATGCGAATGAGCCGATTGCCAGATATTGGACACAATTTTTGAAGTGTGGCTAACAGAGAATTTTGCAGCAGAACAATAAGAGCCTATATAGTTACACTGCCAGAATATATAATACCTACTTTCTTGCCTAATCGAAGCAGAGACCTCGAGCTTGGGCAGTGACAATATAATGATCACTCGTTCAACGAAGCAAAGTTATCTTCAATGCAATTGATTATAGTAAGGTAGAAATACGACTTCTGCGAAAAAGATAATACGGGAAATACGTACATTTTTTCATTAACAAAAATGTTTTTTACAAAATAATTACTGATTAACACGAGATCGTATGAAATCTTGGAACAGGGAAATCTTCAGTCGACTGAGACCTCATTAAAATTTAGAAAAAATAAATATCACGATAAGGGGTCATTTACTTTACAGTTTGTATAGAGTTTATTGTACAGTCCATACGTTTTAAGGTCACTTTAATATTAAAAGAGAGTAAGAGCGAAATAGATAGATATCTACCGTATAAACGGGTAAAGTAAGAGAGAGAAGTTAACATTGTAAATATACATGACCAGTGGATGGCGGACTTATGCTAGATAGAGCAGTGAAGGATTATATGGCCGGCCGCACGTAGCACGTAGCAGGCCAATTATTTGCCATATTTATTTTTATTTTATTTTGACTATTGCCTATAAGTAAGGAATAACGCTACTCTAGTACTAGTGAAAACTAACTGTGGAACTTTTGGTACAATATTTATTTCATTAAGACAACAATGGCCATTGCACAAACGTATCAAGTATTTATTCTTTCAAAAAATCTGTGTATTTTTATCTATTTACGTGGTATATATATTTTGTATTTAATTTTGTCTTGAAAATTATTTATTTTGTTAATCCTATTCGTTTCGTACTTGTGCCACTCTATAGAAAGCGCACGCCACATATACATGTGGTCACGTAATTTTAATATGAATTTATATAATTATTGTAAACATATTTTTATAATTTGCCTGTTACCAAGTTATTAATTACATTTAAATACAAAAAAAATTAAGACAAATTTGTTATTTTACAGATATTGTTATCTGCATACATGATAAAGCATTAATTTTGTTCACAGACAGACAAAACAGGAATAGGTGCCAGTTGCCAAGAGATAAATGGGCTTAAGTTCTTCGAAAAACAATTTTAATTTTAGCAACATGAGCGAAAATAGCTGTATTATCAAATCTTGCGTAATTATGTGTATTTGTTCAGTACAAATGATACATGATCAGAGTTCGTGCTCTTTGTATAGCAGTGAGTACCAAGAAAAATACAATTTAAGAATAATCAATCATAATAATAAAAGATTAATTATTTTATACAAAAATAATGATTAATTATTTTATACAAAAATAATTTAGTATCTTAACAACCACTTAATGCAGTGAGACTATTCTATTACAACATAACTATGAATCTAATATAACAAATCATAACTTGATCTTATGCAATTTCCGTTCGTCCATGCATCTGAATACTAAACTAAGACGAAAATAATATAAAAAAACTACCTAATAGAACAACTAATATTTATTGAACTAAAAATATTATTAAATATATTACAAGTACCGGGAACATTACATTTTATCTATCATTCATTAAAATTATTGATATTTAATTCAGTTCCTACATTAGAACATAAACTGTCACAGAGGTTATCGAAAGTATCACTTTTACAAAGAACACTTAAGGATTTAAGATAGTGACAGAAGCGATTGTTTCTTTTCATGTTGGTGTCATTCTTTGACTTCTCAAGCCTGCAAATAGTTCGGCAGGAAGACCAATAGTCCAACGCAAGGGCCCGCCTGTCCAACACTGCTGACGCGTTCAAGTAGCTCGTCAAACTGTTGTGCCTCGATACCACTCGGTCTTTTTGTCTGTAATCGAGATAAACTTTATTAATATAATAACATAACATCACGCCTTTTTGTCCCCTAAGGGGTAGGCAGAGGCGCACATTACGGCACTCAATGCCACTATACAATGTAACACCCACTTTTCACTATTTATGTTATGAGTCCTATGCAATAGGGGGTAAGCCTATCGCCATATACCGGGCACAATTCCAGACACCGTGCTACTACTGAGATTTTTTTTAAAAACCCAGTAATACCTATTTTTTCCCGACTTACCCGGCAGTTGCACTTGCGACCACTCGGCCAACGAGGCAGTAATAATACAATATCTCGAACGCCATTTAATCTTATTACTTTATTATATAAAGCTGAAGAATTTGTTTGTTTGTTTGTTTGAATAGCTTATTTATCGACGAAGGTTATAGGCTATAAAACATCACGTTAGCCGAGCAGAGCGAGTGAAACCGCGCGGCAGTAGTAATAAAGTACTAATGAAAGAAAATAGACAATAATACCCCCATCTAACAAGGTGGGGGACCTGTAGAAAACTGATTTGTAAAATTGAGAATACCAATGCCCGTCTCAGGAATTGGACCCGAGACCAGCTCACGTGTCCGATACAGGCACTTGAAATATTACAATTATATAACAACCTGTTTCATAAGATATTTTTCATGTTAAATACGTAAAATCCTAAGATGACATTGATATAGTCTTGACCCTTGGATAACAAAAGTACTGTTTAGTAGTTATTTTAGTTACAAAATTTCTTAATTATGTTCTTCACTGGTAGTTAGTACATTTTAAGTTTTCAAATTAATGTTACCTACAATAATAAGTAGCAAAACATGCGTAAGATTTGTGATTATTTAACATCCGTGTGTAAACCCAAAGTTTATTCTTACACAAGAAGTCACGTACCAACTATAGATACCGATAGTTATCTTGTTATTTTTAGCAAATTAGTCACAACGAAAAAACCGAATTTAAAAACAAAAACAAACGAAAAGTAAAAACTAAAAAGCAAAAAATAACTATTATTGATCATACGTACTTAAAAATATATAGCTTACACACCCACTGATAGGTGAAAAGTTGGTACCAAAAGTTTTGCACAAAATTATTCATTAAAACCTTAATAGATACCTAACATTATTAAGCCGTTTACAATTTTATTGTGGATTATACCTGTGACCATTACTTAAGATATATTTTGTTATGGGTTTGTGGCTTTTCGTTTGTTTTTTTTTTTGTAACAAACATAAAAAAAATACAGTCGAATTGAGAACCTCCTTCTTTTTTTTGAAGTCTGTTGAAAATACAAAAACTAATTCACCATTAAATTATAGATTTAAGAAGATAACCAGATTATTTCAAACTTCATATACTTTATGCTACCTTTATAAACAAAATAACGTTATCTTGTAGGTAATTATATTATTTTATGTTAGAAAAACGATGTTTGATTGTAATGTTTAGATTAAAGCACTTCTGAAACCATATAGAAGAGTGAATTATTATTACAGAGGTGATTCCATTAACTTATTCATCTAAAAAACTCACCACTTGTTTACCAATTCGTAAAGGTCGCGTGATAATATATATTTATTTAAATATTTTTTAGTAGATACGAGAGGAACACGACAAATAAACAAGTTTTAGTGGAAATGCATTCCCAAAATAATGTATCCTATGATAATATTCTCTTGTAAGTGACTTTTTGTCTAAATTTATTTATTTATTAAAACTTTATTGCACATATAGTGAAATTGGCGGACTTAAATGAGAATAAATAATTTAAACTTAATTTAATGAATAAACTCACCTGTTTAACAGCATTCCCGGAAAACTAATGTTTGTTTTTCTATCACAGCTTAGAACATCTTGTGCTGTTGCAATAGAACCAGTCAAAATTGTATGACAAATTTCACTCATAACTTCATGTTCCTTATGATAGTAGCCAGGATTCTCTCTTTCTGACACACTGTGACTCTCAGGACAATACCAAGGTTGTGATGTAATATTTCTGTCAGTGTCTGGATTGATGTGACTGTAATAATCAGACAACGAAAAAGCATCTGCAGCATTTGCTATTGCTTCCAGTTCCAGGCTAGCCTTCTTCTTATGACTAATATTGCATTTTTGTGAAGGGCGATCAGTAGGTGTAGTTGTTAATAGGGATGGCATACTCCACCACATGTTAAATAATTGTACTGGACATGTTAGATTCATTAAATTCGAATGTTTAGAAGCAAAAGCAGTCCAAATAGTATTTATATCCACATCACCAGCTGCACTTGTTTTTCCTTCTGTATCATCATTATCTGCCCAAGACATACAGGAGCTTTCTTCATCAATGTGATTCTTATAAAAATCAACATTTTGTGAAGCAGCTTCTTCCTCCGAAGCAACACTCTGTACTTTAGGTAAACAGAACTGCAGGTAGTTGATGGTTTTTCTTATATCTCCTTTAAAATAATTCAACATTTTGGCTCCAACACCAGGCCAACACATTCCACTATCTGCTAGGCACATGATATCTAACCATGTCCCAAGAATTCTGGGCAGAAGAGGGCTCATTTTTAATATTTTTGCATTTTGTACAAACCTTTGCAAATGTGGACAAACTAATGATGATGTAATTAAAATTACAGGTCTTTTTGAGCAGTGGACTAACTGTACTATGGCTGAAGTAAAACCATCATCTTGATCAAATACTATATCCGCATCATCAATGAGTATAAGTGATGAATCTGTCCTAGTACTCTCCTGGCTTAGGGTAGTGCCACTTAGAACTTCATTCTTTACAACTGATGCTTTACTTTTCTCTTCTTCAATGGCCTTCTTTGGTCTACCTCGCTTCTTTGTCTGTTTTGGAATAACTGTTTGTTTTTCTTGTGACTTTTGACTATTGTCTGAATTTCCTGTACCTCTGTTAACCTTATGTGATTGTGTTGCTTCCTGTAAATCTTGTAACATGATTTTTCCCGTCCGTCTACTACTAGCATTAACTTCAATGACCTTCATGGCTAAATCTGCAGCAACAGCATAAATACTTGCGGTTTTGCCACACCCTGTAGGACCAGCCAGTATTAAAAGATTGTTTGTAGACTTCATACTGTCTCTACTATCAGGTTCAGACTCATAATAGTCTGAGCTATCTGAGTTGGCCTTACTTTTAGCCTTTGATTTAACTTGATTCTCTGTCCATGATACCAACCACTTTCTTAATTCTTTTAAAGTCTCAAAATTGCCTATAATTTGTTTGGTAGTTATAGCTTTGTACTTGTCAGTCCAATTTAGTCTGTCAGGACTGTCATTTATAACATCTACCATATCACCCAAAACTTCAATACTGTTATCTACATCTACATAACTACAGTCTTTAAACTCTCCCTTTCCCTTACTTCTCAAATATCGATAGGTCCTGTATACTGGGAACTTTGGATGCAACTTCTTTATACTCTGTAACATTGCCTGTGTGCTCTTTTTGCTTATAGTGTCTACACTATGGCAACTGAGGTCCTGATTAAGATTTAGCAATTTTTGCATTTTATTATTTTCATAAGATAATGTATAGTCTTCTTCAGTTTCAGTAATCATTAATGGTATATTGACAAATTGATTATCTTCAAGTATTGCAGTACTTTGTTGAACATGAACAACCACAGGAAAGCTATTATCTGGAATAGAGCAAACTTTTTGTTGTTGTATTTGCTTTTTCAATTTGTCTGGGACTCCACTTTGTAAAAATTTTTGTTTAGCTTCTAAAGCAGCTGGATCAGTTTGTTTAGATGTAAATATGGGAGCCAGTTTGGTAGGTTTCTTACATGTCACATCTTTCAGAACCTTCTCTATTTTCTTTTCTGCTTTAGGCTTCACAGGTTTGAGTTCATCTAGAGGCTGGTCAGTCTTTGAGCAAACTGGTTTTTTATCATTTTTACTTTCAATGTGCTTTTTCTTTTTTGGTGTGAAAATGTGCAAGTCTTCATCAGAGCTTGACAGACAAGCATCATCAACATATTTCACTGGTCTCTTTACTGACCTCTTCGGTCTGCTCTCACTGTTGCAGGTGATATTTGTATTCTCAGAATCAAGTTTTGTATCGAGTTTTGAATTTCTCTTCCGCTTCTGACTGTCATTCTTAACTTTAACACCGTCACCATTTACATTCAGGATCTTATTATCTGTTGTAAAGTCTGGAATATTAACACTAATACTAGCTAATGTTTTATCTTCTGATTTTTGTTGAGTTTTGATGGAGGATTCATGTACCTTGTTATCTGTTATTTTTTCATTATTGTCCACAAGTATTTCGCTAACTTCTTCATTAATGTTCTCTTCTTGTTCTTTAATAGTTTCCGTTAAATCACATACTTCTAAACTGTCTTTTTTCAAGCTCAATTTCTTCTTCTTACTCTTTTTTTTACTTCTAGGTTGAAGTTTTACCTTTATAAGGTTATCGTTTTCTGAATTAGTAGGAGAACATTCAGTATCTTTATCTATTTTTTTAAAATAACAGAGCATACTTTCCTTTTTCTTTAAAGAGGGTGACAACTTATTCAGAAAATCTTCGTCTTCCTTGGATATGTGTTTTTTTACTGGAGTAATAATAGTATTCTCTTCAACTGTGTTGAATATATCAACTATCTTGAATGTATTTGACTTGGTTTGTTTCTTTGTATTGTTATTATCTGCAACTTTGGCTTTGTCTTCTATTGACAAATCAATTATTTCATCTTTTTTTAACTTGCCATTAGAACTTTTACCTTCTTTGTCAGATTTAGTGTCTTTGAAAATCATACTTTTTAATCGTTTTGCTCTCTTTTCCAATTGATCTTTAATAATATTGTCTTGAAATTCTTCGATTTCTTTATTTTTCAAAGATCCCTTTGCTTCAGCCATTTTTTGAAGTAACAATTGCCTTTTAGCTTTCATGTTCTTTCTTTCAATTACTTCGGTTGTATCAATGTTTTCATCACTTTTGTCTTTACCTGGAGAATTACACCCAAGGCTCTTGTTTCTAGAATCCATTAACAGTTTGAATGCATTTGTTTGCTTTTTTTCCTGACTAGTGACAGCTGAAGGACTGTCTCTGGTCACATCATCTTGGACATCTACCTCAGTGTTAGAGTTTTTCAAGCTTTCACTTATCTTTACAGGCTTTCTTCTAACCATTTTGAAAAGGTAATTTTTAGGCCTCCAATCATCTAACTCGCTATCTTCACATAAATAGGGATCTTTTCGATTGTTTGGGGACCTGATAATTAGTGATGAAACGAGAATTTTCGACACATCTAATATATCTTGATCTTCTTGCCCATCTTGTCTAAGTTTATACTTTCGTAACTTCCGTTTAAGCACCTTATCACATCTGTGTCTAATGGTATTTTCCTTCGACTTGAGGACGTGTCTTCGTTGGCGATACTTGTGGTAATTTATTTCTTTAACTGAATTGATGTCGTCGACGACTGAGAAGGACGCAGTTGCTATCAAACTTGTCATTCCTTCGCTGAAAATGTAACAAAATCACCATTACACTTTGTACACTAATAAAAAAGATCAACACTAATGATCAAATGGAGACACGCGTCTGTTATCACTAAAATGAGTGCAGTAAGTCGATAATCTTAAGGTTTATACTATATTCAATAAACTTTGTTACAATATAAGTTTCTTTTTAGTTGATTTTTTCAATTTGTCGTTCGGTTTTTGACGAAATAATAATAAAAATTGTTATGAACACATACCCAAAGTCAATTTGGCGGCATTATTTTTACGTGTTTTACTAGTTGTCAAATTGTTAATGTCTTAGAGCCTAAATGTCAAATTGACATTGGAGTTGACTGATCATAAACAACAAAAGTATGTTTCAGTTTCATTAGAATGAAACGCTTTGGTACCAAATTGTATTGTAGAACTACAATTTGGTACAAAGCGTTCCCGTTCTGCTCGGAGTATTGGTTAAGCCCATTAAGCCGTACTTCAATCGAAGCCAAGCCAAATATCAGAAGTCTGTAATCTCGATAACAATAACAATAATAACGCTATTTATTTGTTTTATTTTATTAAATTTAATATAAGGTTTGTTTTTTCCGTTATCTCTGTAATAGTTTGGATTACTTTACTAGTTAATATAAGTTTAATATGGTGTAAGTTGTCGCTAGATTTAATAAAAACCTTGTTATCGTATTGGGTCCTTAAACCTGAAACTTTAACTTTTGTGTGTATTGTGTAATAAATAAATAAATAAGAAAATCGATTTTATTGGTGAATGAGTGTACATAGGATTCCTTTAATTTTTCATCTTCATTACAAATGCTATGTCATCATGCTTATAAAATTATTTTAGTCAGGTACAATATCTTAATACAACTGAAAAGACGTGGGCATACGTAGACGAGATAAAAACTACGAAATTTTATTAAAAATATACAGCAATATGACACAGTAAACTGCTGTCACTTTACTGTCAAATCGATTTTTATTTGAAGTTCGCTAGCTCGCCTCTAGTCCGACGTGCTACTGATTGCAGCGCAGCCTAAAATTGGAAAACTCCTTGAAATGGCATCGAAAACGAAAAGTTTTGTAACTCCTTTAATTCGTCATGTTACGGTAAGTTCATTTAAATGGGCTTATCTATTGAGTTACAAGCTAATTAACAGACTACCTTGTAAAATAATCTGTTCTGTCAAACCCCTGTTATGTAAACCTTTTTGACATTTTCCGGGATTTTAATACTTTGCTAACATGTGATAATCGGCTTACAGAGCAGGGGTTACGCTCAGGCAGCACCAGCGGCTAGGAAGGAATCTAAGGTATCAAGTACAGTCCTCCCCAACAAAACTTTTGTAGCAGCCTTGGACAATGGATCCCCAGTTACTCGAGTAACTGTCGCCTTCAAGTAAGTATCCTCTTAATTACTCTAAATTTAACAGCACTTAACAGTAGAAACATGCATTAAAAACATGTAAAAGTCTCACTTAACATCAATTTCATAATATATCATTAGTGTTGATATTTAAGCTAATAGATAAGAGAAATTAGGCAAATAAATTGTTCGTGAATATTATATTTAAATTGATAATTAATGTGATGAATGTTTAAGGACAATAAAATGGTTAGACTAAGTGGTTGTGTTCAGCGTTTTAGACAAAAATCTGAGAATATGTATGTAACTAATTTTCAGGGCTGGTTCCCGTTATGAGCCGCAGACTGAACTGGGTGTTGCCCATATGCTTCGTTCTGCTGCTGGGCTTAGCACCAAGCATGCCAACTCTTTCATTCTGGCACGTAAATTGGCACAGATTGGTGCCTCTGTAACTGCTTCTGGTGACCGCGAGTTTATCTATTACACTCTGGAGGTAAGTTTTATAATATAGATAGCACAAGTGTGATTTATTTCAGTCCAATTTTAGATCCTATACGATTTTGGTGAAGCTTATTAGAAAATCTATGAATCTATGTTTTAGTTAAAGTTGGTGAGTTGAAAGCAAACTGGCAAAATAATGCTATTGGCAATTTGTATTGTATCAAACCTGGAGTTCATTGTATCAAATTAATGAAGATTTTAATATAGACTTTATGGAATATTTATTTACTAGCGACCCGCCCTGGCTTTGCATGGGTGCAATATGCATGTATTATACTATGTATTCTTAAGTAAGGTTAATATGTATAAACCTTACTTAAGAATCACTACCTATTAAAAAAAAATTGCATCAAAATCCACTGCGTAGCTTTAAAGATCTAAGCATACATAGGGACAGACAGACTGCAGATAGCGACTTTGTTTTATGCTATGTAGTGATATTGAGAGTATATAACAAGAATAATAATAAAAACAATTGTGGTTTTCAGACAACTCAGGACAATTTGAATGAAGCACTGGAGCTTTTGAACCAAGTGGTTTCTGGACAGGAGTTCAGACCTTGGGAGCTGGCAGACAATGAGCCTCGTCTCAAGTTTGACATTGCAGCACTCCCACCTCAGGTACACAAGCTTTTCTTTGGTTTATGTACTTCCTTTTAGAGATTATATTGAGTTGCTGTAAAATATGTCGAATGTAAGATTATTACCTTAATACCTTATAATATCTGTATAAATTTTTTTTTAAACATGGATTCTCTCATTCCTCGGTGCGCCTGCCAAAACTGTTATGTGCATTTAGTCAAGTTTTCAGGGGGAGACAATAAACTATTTTTTACACTTGCACTGAAAGGTTGATGGACTTAGCAATAAATTAAAAATGCAGTATGATGGCAAAAATTATGATAAAAATAACTGAGATAAAAGTGAAAATGATAACATGTACTGTTCATCCCCAATAATTTTATTTTCCATTTTGGTGCACATATCAGATTTATCTTAGAAAACAGTAAAATTTTTAAACTAAAACTGTTGATATTCAATCTGCCAAACTATCTATGTGATGCTGCAACTTCTGACATGTGCGTTTTATGTCACATATCCCATAACCAATCGAAAACACATAACCAATTTGTCACGGCCAGGAAGTGCACATAAGATTGGTCTAATCGATTTCTAGAGGGAAATAACACATATTTGTTTTTGTAATCGATGCGCTATCCGATTTGAAGGACATCTAGCTAAGAAAAAAATATATATTTGCACATATCAGTTGTGGCAGGCGCACCGACGAAGATATTGTGACTATTTTGTTACAATCTCAATCATGATTACCAAGGTCTTGACTTTATATTAAAACTAATGAAAACGTTTGTTTTATGTGTATCAAAATTTTCGTAAACTTGAAAATTAATAGCCCAATCGGTCCACAGATGACTTCTGAAACAGGCTTTTGTTTGACGGGGGAAAATCATCCAATGAGTTCTCCCACCTTGGGTTAGGCGAGAGGGAGTGTCAATCAAACTCTTACTGACTAAAAATCACCCCGTTCCTACTCCTGCTCTTCGAGCCGGATCCCCGGCAACCCGTTAGGCCTTCCGCGGCTCGGTATCGGGCTTCAGCCCTATGGGCCCCATCTGTGGTGGTCTGATGTCTCTATGAGGCTCGCGTGGAACGCGACGCTCCGTACGCACGGGTCTGGTTCTGGCGAGCTACCCTTGCTCGCCGTCCGCACACTGAAACTGGATAGACTAGTTTTAAATAACTAAAAACTTATTACAGATCCGTGCTGTGGACCTGCTCCACAAAGCTGCGTACCGCCGTGGCCTGGGCAATTCTCTTTTCATCTCACCCAAGCGGATCGGCAAGATTTCATCCGAGTCTCTGCAGCATTATGCATGCAATCTGTTGACTGCCTCACGTTGCGCTGTTGCTGTCGTTGGGAGCTCTCAGGTAATTGAGTTGTAAATTTATTTATAACGATTATAAATAGGACCACCTCCATTTATTTTCTGAGTTTTAATTTAAAAATATCTGCAAATGGTCAATATTAACAATATTCTGCCATTTCATATTTATTGACTGTGCAAAACTGACCTAGTAAAACGGAGTATTATTGTATTATTTATGCATTATTTTTATGTAATATTATTCCTTATTAAACTTTTCATTTTTTTTAAGGAAAGGGCCAACATGATTGCTCAGCACCTGAACCTGTCTTCTAATGATTTTACTGCTGAAGCCACAAAATATATTGGTGGAGATTTGAGGTATTTATTATTGTTTTAATATTATTATTGATTCAAATTAAATTATACTGATACCTTTATGAATTGTATTTCTAAAAGAGATGTGCACAATATGTTGTTATATACTCTTGTCTTGTCAATAGATAAATTATATTGTTATTTGTTACTACTAATCATTATACATTCAGGAAAGAAATGGGTGGTGACCTGGCTCACATAGCCCTTGCAGTCCAGGGCGCTCCAGCTGGCTCTCCACAGGCTCTCGCCTTAGCCGTTGCAGCTAAAGGTATTGTTGTAATATTATTGAAAGTTATGTGATATGAATTAAAGTTAATTTTGTCATACAATGAGAGAAACTGTGAACATTCCCTAAAAAAGAATGTGGATGTGCATGTATTTACATGTATAACTTATTTATCAGTTTAGTAAAATATTGCTGTTATTACTGTAGCTCTTGGCAACGGCCCGGTGACCAAGTGGGGTTCCGACAACTCGCCCTTAGCCAAGGCAATCGGGAACGTTGGACCATTCGCGGCAGCCGGCTTCAACGTGGCCTACTCGGACAGTGGCCTCTTTGGTGTTGTACTCTCTGTGCCTAAGGATGAGGCCAACACTGTAAGTACTTTCAATAGCATTGACATAAATTCGGGTCATCATCAACATAGTCTAGGCCTCATTTATATAAATTTTAAAAAATTTTATAGTCTTGAAGTAGTAATTAGTCTACTTATTTTTTTGAGTGTGAAAGTATTTAAACCATGTATAGTGATTATAGAATTAATATTAATAGGTACATAATATTATAGATATTCAATTTTTCATAAACAAATTCACATAGATTTTAATGTTTCATTAGAATTAATATTTATGTATTTTATCTTTTTTCAGGCAGTGAAGGCTGTAGGTAATATCCTGAAGAAACCTGCATTGAATGCTGCAGCTATTCAGGCTGGCAAGAGCCAGCTGAAGCTACAGATCCTGTGTGAAGGTGATGCAGGAGCTTCCCTGGCCGAGTCTATGACTGCACAAGGTTTCTACACTGGATCTATCAAGACACCTGCTGACATTGCCAAGCAAATTGATGCCCTTTCGCCCAATGATATCTCACAGGTAAGATGAAAATAAGTGGACCTGTGTTTTTTTTAATATACAAATACCTTTTTATTTACTATTTTGTAATATTTACACAGTGATAAACTGGTTATGGTTCCATAACACCTTTTTGCACAGTATCACAACACCCAATCATAAGATTCAGAAGTTTTTCTGTAGAATTCTAAATTAATTCAATTCTTTCCAGGCTCTTTCCAGTGCCGCCGCAAGCAAACTTTCCATGGGTGCCGCAGGAAACCTAGCATTTGTTCCCTACACAGATGAATTATAAATTACATAATTTAATAGTTGTTATTGCTTTATTTAATAGTACAGAAAGTACGGAACATGTGAGAAATTACCAGTATAGTATAATGTGACTAATATTGATTATAACTTATTGTTCACCTGAAATAAATCAATCATTACATAGTTATTTTTATTTCGTTTTTTGGTATATCTTTCGTTAATCATTAATAAATGGCCATTAATAAATTAATATTTGAGGAAAATGCGAGTCTAAATAAAAGCATAAGACGTAGCATCGACGAAATCGATGCTATCGAAATCACACAACGGTATGCATTGAATAGCCAATTCGATTATAGAATCGGAATAATCGTTATAGCTCACTTTTTCCTAATCATAATACGCAAATTAAAATAATTAT